TATATATATATATATATATATATATATATATATATACACACACACACACACACACACACACACACACACACGGCCTAGCACAATGGGGCCCAAATTTGATTGTGGCTTCTTGTGCTTTTTGCATTACAAATAAATTATGATAACAACAATAGTTAACTCATCAGCTAATAAAAAAGCTATGCAGAATAAGCTCACATATGGAGGACTCATTTGGAACAGTTCAACATTTTCCTTCTTCCACGATCAGAATTTAATAAATCATAAATGAATTATACGTCACAATGCCTTGTAGCTAAGGATTTCAACATCTATTAGGCAGTCTCTACCCTAAACAGCTTACAATCTAAATAGAAAAGACAGACACAGAGCAGGGGAAGGAGAAGAACACACAAGAAGCATGTACAGTGTGGTGGTGGCAAACATCATGTTAGTTCCATATTTTTTATTTTATTTTATTTTGGTGGGTTTAGTTAGGAGGGATAAGCTAAATGGGAAGAAAAGTGAACAGAAGGGACAGCGAAGGGGAGAGGCTAAGGGGACAGCTCGGGGAGAACAGGGCAAGAGTGTATGTGTGAAAGAAAGCTGAACTGAAGAAACTGAGGGAGGGAATGCATCCCTGTGAGGTAGTGAAGTATTATCATCCCCATTTTATGAATAGGGAAACTGAAACATAGGAAGATTAGAGAGACAAGGTGGGTGAGGTAATAGCTTTTATTGGACCAACACAGAGAGGTTAACAACCATATTCTGAAAAGCGGCCCTGAGTTTTGGATGCCCAACTTGAAATGCTGTGCAGAGTTGGCTCTAGGCTGTCTAAGGTAACAAAAGTCCAACTCCAGCTACTACATAAAATTGTCTATAAAAATCAGCAGAAGTTGGAGACAAATAGACTGGTACAAACTGGATTGTTTAAGTTAAAAAAAAACTGGTAAGGCATCTGCAAGGCTCCTGGTAAAGTCCAGGTTGTCATGACAACGAGATAAAAAATTTAGAAATGTGAGAAATGTTTATAGCTGAAAGTACCAAAATGTGTTTTGATTGGTTAATTTTAATATGATGAGGTTGCTACCACTTCTTGGGCACTGCTTATCATTGGGTCACCAATGGGAGCAGCGGGACACATGAACTGGAGGGAGCAAACTTTACAAGTATGGCTACCATCTCCTCCATCTCCTGGGACCTTTGTTGTCCTCATCCTGAAAGACACCTTAACCAGACCGAGCCAGAGAGTGCAAACCAAATGGCATTACCACCTCCACCAGCTGAGGCTAAATAATGAACAGAACCTGAAAATTGGGCTCCCTCCCTCATGTGTTATTCTCATTCCTCACCTTATTTCTTCTCCGTCCTATCTTTCTCTTGCTGCCTTCTGTATAATAAGAGTCTGACTAAGTCAGCCAAGACAACTCCACCTTAGCAAAACTGCTGTGAGCCTGCAACCAGAAAGGCAGCTAAAAGCAACATCATAAACAGCCTAATGCCAGGACTCAGAGCTGCTGATAAGTCCATGTGCTTGGCCTGTGTTTTTCCAGCAGCAAAGTTGCAAATGAAAATCAGCACCAAAGATCAGGAGCTGTATTTACTATCTTTCTTTTCTCTACCCTTTTGTGTGCGTTTTGTCTTAAAGTAAGCAGGATTGGACTCCAAGAAGAGCAGTAGCTCCAAACCATCTCAGCTAAACTTTGTTTTTCCTGCTCAAGAGGACATTTAATACCATCTAAAAGACTGTCAAACAGATTTCCCTATAAAAGAATTTATACAGCTAAAGGGAATAAGGAATACTATTAAAATGAAAGCCTCACTTAATACTTTACACTTCAAATGCTTTAACTGTTTGTTTTTCTTCTTCTGTGTCTTTAAGAAAAGGTTACAAAGATTTTTATTGGTGGTTGGTTCAATGTAAGCCAGCGATAAACTGATATGAAACTCTGGACCACATTTAACAGTTTAATGTTGTAACAGCAAACAAGACTTTTATTCCCTTGTTGGGCTTGAGACATCCCCTTATCATCACAAAGGCACCCCAAAATTGAGGCACCCAAAACAATTACCATTTAGAAAGTATGTCTTCTAATGACCAGCCCAAGGGCACAGAGAATCACTGGCACAGCTACAGATTGAAACTATGGTCCAAATTCTGCCCCTTCTGATTAATGGGGTCTAATTCCTATATAATGGTATGTCTACAGTATAGCAGAATAGCTATGGAGCTTCAGCTGTGCCACTGTATTGAAGATGCTTCCTACATAGATGGAAGGAGTTTTTCTGTCAATTTAATAATCCACCTATCCGAGAGGCAGTAGCTCGGTTGACAGAATTCTTCCATCAACCTAGCTGCATCTACAGTGGGGGTTAAGTCAACCAAACTATGTTGCATAGCTCTGAGCAATGTGGCTAGGTTCACCTAAGTTTTAGGTGTAGACCAAGCCTAAATGAGGTCAGAATTGTTGCCCATGAGTCCTTAGTCCAAGAGCTGTTAACTTGCTGTCTGCTCTTATTAGATGAACCTGAGCATGTAGGATCTTAGATGGCACAATTAGTAGCAGTAAGATGATGTCTTGATAGTATTGATATTGCAGTGGTCTGTAAGGAATTAGTTACAACGTAGGAAATTGAGTTTTTTGTGACTGAACAATTGATAAATTATTTCAGTGAATGGAAAGAAAATAGTAAATCTAAAAATACCATAACTTCCCCCTCCCCAAGTTTATAAACATTCTAAATCAGTGAAGCTCATTCAGCTCCTTCTATAGGGAAATAGTTCGCGGGAGGAAGCAGAGCTGTAGATCGTATCAACATGAACCTCTGCTCTCCCTCTTGTAAAAGGCTGCAGGGATCGAGATGAAAATAAAACTGACACAGTGGGAAGATACATAGCAGGAAGACTAGTGAAGAACCAAATAGGAGAGGTGGAATTGCAGCAGTAGGAGAGGGGGAAAAAAATCAATACCTTCAAGAACAGGAAGGAACATATTTCTTTCCTACCTAAAACTAGTATTGATCTATAAAGCAAGAGCTGTATCATACAGTTGTTAAATAAAAAGGAACACTTATTTACAGTTCCTCAGTATGAGGAATATATTTAAATTCATGCTGAAACATAATGCCTGATGTGAATCACTACAGTCATATTTAGTACTAAACTGTTCTGTTATCTAGTTTAAGTTTAACACCACTGAGAGAGCCTCCTTGCATTATGTTTTTTCTCTATTATGTATACAGCAAGCTCAGAAGTAATACAATGGGATATCGAGCATGAGTGTTAAATGTTGTGATAGCTTAGAGATGCCTGTCAACAAGAAAAATAAAGGAGTGGTGGCTGGAATTATTTTGAAAGATAATTTATCCAGAAAAAAAAGATGACAAAGCACTGTAGGAGGCTAGGAACAATGAAGATGTACAGCAAAGTCAAAACATACTGCTAACAGAAATCCTCATCTATGCAGCATGCACTGAAGAATGCCTGATCCAGAGCTCACTCAAGTCAATATAAAGATTCCCATTGAATTCAATCAGTTTTATCTCAGGCCTGAAGACAAGTTTGCAAGCATGGAACCATAGAGGGCCATAGGAAAAAGAGCGGCACATCTCTAGCAGTGGGACTGTTTTAAAAGGAAAACAAACAAATTTTGGGGAGGGAAGGTCTCAAATGCAGGTACCTACGCTGACTCTTCCTAAACTTTTCCCCAGTCTTGTTTTAAAAATGCCTGTGCATACATGAGATTGCCACTTACTCATTCAAGTGTATTTCCTTCTGGCACATATTTTTTGTCACCTCTTTTTGTTAAATACCTATCAGCCACACCCCAGTGACTTTATCTATTTCCACTGAAGTTGACAGCAAAAGACCCTACCAACTTTAGTGGGAAAAGGATCTCAGACACAGTTTTTATTAAGTCCTTACTAGAAGAACTGCTGTTGGTTTCAGTGGAAGTGTGCTACAGAAGGATTGAGTGAAAGCTATGCACGGGCCCTAGGATCTGACCCTGTATTTGCAAAAGACCACATATCAGAGAGATGTTTCCATCTGTTCTGGAGCTCCAGTCGTACTCCATTTCCACTGAACAAAACCAAAGCAAAGCAGATCTGAGGAAGTACAAAAGATTCATGGCACCTACCTTTTTCATTGCTATTTGATGGAGGTGGTTGTGGATTAACAGGTTTGGATTTGTCGTAGTTGTTAAAGCTCTGGCTGCGCCGGTTGTTGGCACTGATAGACCCACGAGTTTTGGTTTCGCTGCCTGCAGCAGATACCCTCGTGGTGGGACCTGGAAGTCTGTTAAGAAAAATAAGAAAACAGGACAAAGTACTCATAAGAAAAACCACAACAATTTGGAAGAGGAAAAGACAACTGAAAACCATGCGTAATCCGAGAATAAAGGGAGCAAGGCAAGAGAATTTTGTGGGTTTTGTAAGGAATTTAACCAAGCCACCACAAAATATCCTGGATAAAAATATACATAACAGTGACTACAGTAGTAGTTTGAATTGCTTTACATCATGAAAACCCCTTGAACTGGATATTGTACTATTGTAAGATGCGATTTTCAGATTTAAAATATTCAGAACCCAGTTCTGACATCCTTATTTAAGTTGATTAGTACTGTACGTGGCAAGTAGTCTGGTTTCAATGGGACTACTAGAAGTACTACTCAATCTAAGTAAAGGTCGCAGAATCAGGTCCTCAATCATTTTTCTTCAGTGCTGTAGCCCTTGGTCTTATTCTCCTCTCCCTTATGCCAGTGTAAACAAGAAGCAACTCCAGTGAATTCAATGGATTTATGCTGCTGTAAAATTGGTGTCACAATTTGGCCCTATGTTCCTAAACTAGATTGCTGAAATTCATTCTACACAGGACTACAATCCAATTCAGAAACAGACAATGGGGCAAAATGTGGCTGTTGCTTAACAACTGGCATTTCTCTGTAGGGAGCACATTATATTTGTGCTCTTTGAACTGAACTGGCTACCAACTGATTTTCAATAGAAGGTTAATATTGTTTATTTTTGGATCTACAAAACCTTCTAAGGTTTGAGTTCTGGCTGCCTCGGAAACCACTACTCTCCCCATGTAGTAGCACAGCAATGGAATCAGCTGAGGAGCTTGAGGAACTGAGCAGCCCCCTGGGTTAAACTGTAGGATGCTGATAGTCATGTTTTGTCAATGAAGGGTCCTCATTGGAACGCATCTCCCTTTTGATCCAGCAGAGCCCAGGCTTGCAAGCTTTATCTGCTTTATCAGGCTTTTTCTGGGGAGAGGAAATTGGGGTTATAGAGTAGGATGATGACCAACTCCCAGTGAATTTGAATAAGATATGGGCTTCTCATTCCTTCAGATGAGGCACCCTTGAAAATCATAGTTTTAATATATGTACAGCACACTTTTATGAATCTAAATAAATGAAATACAACAAAATATGAAATAATGCCCTCAAAGTACATACCTGTAGAGAATTGTTGAGACTTTTGAGTACCTTGAAAAGTAGTGTGACATCTTCATTTTTGAGGCTAAAAGCCAGAATCTGCACACGTCATGTATGGTGGCAAGATTGAAAGACATGAGCTACTCAACCTTCATTGTTTTCAGCATAAGTAAAAAAAAAAATTGTCTATAAAATCACTGTGACCTAAATGAAGTGTACCACCAAAGAGCCTAATCCAGAAGCCCTTATTATCAGAGTGTAGTAAAACTTTACACAGGGAATACTGCCATGGGGGATGCAATGTGCAAAATCATTGTTACATCTATAGCACCATTAGCGCTGGAAAGTCGGGAGAGGGGCTTTAACACTGGTTTCAAAAATCAACCAACTCTTCAGAGATTAGTGAAAGGGAAATGAAAAAATAAAAAAGGGAAAAGCATAAATGTTAACACATGCATGCACATGCTTCCAAAGCTCAGAGGAGGACAAAATATATGGGCACCACTAAAAACAAAAATATTGTATTTATAAATTCACATTACCACAGCCTCTGGCACACAACATTATGGGTTTTGAGGTTTACTTTGTTGTATCCCAGACAACCGCCTTAAGTTCTCAACTGTATATGAAGAACCTCAGCCAGTTTCAACACTAAAGGATGCTAGAAAATTATATATGGAATTGATCAAAAACAAATTAAACTTAGAACACCCTGAAATACTTTATCTATTGAAAAGAAGGCTACAAATGAAGAGGCAGAAGGTGGTGGGGAGAAAAGATGGGAAACATGAACGCTTAGGGCTCTCGGTCCCATTTTTGATGTTTTCCTTGAAGTTGGCAGGGCAAGAGAGCTCATGCAGAGCCCATACTATTGAATAGATGTTGAATTCAGTCTTTTGCAGGCAGGAAGAGCCTTCAGGCCACATCACTTGACAGTCTGTTCTAAAGAAAGACTCCACTTTGTTACTTAGTATGTTTTAAGCCCCACAATAGAGCTACTGGACTATTTTAGAATTCGTTCCCTACTCTTTTTTTTTTTTCTTCTGATAGGATTAGTGGATGAGAAAAAGTTATTCTTCCTAAACAGTCCTCAATAGTGCTGTAAAGATGTGGACCAAAATGGTTTGCTCAGAAAAGCCAGCAATGGTTTGCTCAGAAAAGTGAAGGGGACAGCCCAGACACACTGACCAGCAGGGGACAGCATAGGTTGTCAATTCAGTCATCATTGTAATTGCTAGTTATATAAATATGTATAAAATAGAAAATACATGTAAGAATAAAACACTTAGGAAGAAGATATATTGTTAAAGCACTTATCCTTCCATCAGATTCCTGATGTGTGTTTATCTGATTAATTTTGTTTTAAGCACATATCTTTTTACTTGCCCAGGACACTTTGGAAGTGTATGTAGCTACTTTGGCTAGGGCAACTCTACAGCTGTAAGCTCTGTAGCCATAACCTTTGTAGGGAAAAATCTAGTTTCAGGATAGACCTGCTGGCTTCTTGTTAGCAGAGATCAGGTACAAAGTTAAGAGAACACTCTCGGTTATTTCTCTTCAGCCCCTTTAGCTAGCTAATATGTGACTGTAACCATGCCTGAGGGTGAACTTGATGCGTCTCAGGTGTCAAGTTAGTGTTAGGAGGGAAACAGAGTAGGGAGAATCAACAAGGCTTAAAAGGTTTCAGAGTAGCAGCCGTGTTAGTCTGTATCCGCAAAAAGAAGAACAGGAGTACTTGTGGCACCTTAGAGACTAACAAATTTATTAGAGCATAAGCTTTCGTGGACTACAGCCCACTTCGGATGCATTTGTTAGTCTCTAAGGTGCCACAAGTACTCCTGTTCTTCTTTTTAAGGCTTAAAAGGTGATTCAGAGTACGGGTTCTAGCACAAAGCATCTTTCTGATGCCTAGACCTTCCCTTCACCAAATAAAATACAAGATGTGGGGGAAGTGAATCCAAATTATAGGACAGGAGTAATGCGGTTACATTTCCACATTACAGAAAGGGATACAATTTACTGGTTAGTGCACAAGAGGAGTAAAAATGTCAAATAAACTACACTAGTTAATGCAGAACTACAGTGGAATTCCTAATTAAGTACATATGACAGCATAATAATATCAAGCGTAATACTAATCACAAGAAAATCCATGATTAATACCGAAGATATTAATAATGATTAGAGCAGACCTTTTAAGTGCTGCTGTGAGGTGCTCATAGGGGTTGGCATTCAAGTCAAGCTATGATTATGGCCAAAATGGACAGAAACACCTATTACTCATTTTCATGGAGATTAGCTGTTCTCTGCTATAGGCACTAGGGAGTCCAGGACCAGTAATGAGATATATATCTACTCTGTTGTTTTGTCTCATCTGACACACTTGACTAAGTTCCACTTTTTATTACCCAAGAGAAAACTAGTCCTGACATTAGTAATTTCAACAGTGTAGAAATGAAAAGAATAACTGGTTCAGAAATTGTGTGACTCTTCACTTTTCAAACCTTCCCTTTTCAAAATGAAAAGCTCACAAGAATGACCAAGGTCCATTATTTTCTTGCCAACATAGAATCATAAGACTGGAAGGGACCTGGAGAGGTCATCTAGTCCAGTCCCCTACACTCATGGCAGGACTAAGTATTATCTAGGCCATCCCTGACAGGTGTTTGTCTAACCTGTTCTTAAAAATCTCCAGTGATGGAGATTCCACAGCCTCCCTAGCAGGGCCAGCTCCAGCACCAGCTTACCAAGCAGGTGCTTGGGGCAGCCACACCGGAGAGGGGCGGCACATCCGGCTCTTCGGCAGCAATTCGGCAGTGGGTCCCTCACTCCTGCTCAGAGCGAAGGACCTCCCGCCGAAGATCACGATCGCGGCTTTTTGGGGAGAGGGGCTGCTTGGGGCGGCAAAAACCCTGGAGCCGGCCCTGCTCCCTAGGCAATTTATTCCAGAGCTCAACCACCCTGACAGTCAGGAAGTTTTTCCTAATGTCCAACCTAAACCTCCCTTGCTGCAATTTAAGCCCATTGCTTCTTGTCCCATCCTCAGAGGTTAAGAAAACAATTTTTCCCCTCCTCCTTGTAACAACCTTTTATGTACTTGAAAACTGTTATGTCCCCTCTCCGTCTTCTCTTTTCCAGACTAAACAAACCCAATTTTTTCAATCTTCCCTCATAGGTCATGTTTTCTAGACCTTTAATCATTTTTGTTGCTCTTCTCTGGACTCTCTCCAATTTGTCCACATCCTTCCTGAAATGTGGCACCCAGCACTGGACACAATACTCCAGTTGAGGCCTAATCAGCATGGAGTAGAGCGGAAGAATTACTTCTCGTATCTTGCTTACAACACCCCTGCTAATACATCCCAGAATTATGTTTGATCTTTTTGCAACAGCATTACACTGTTGACTCCGCAGCACTCCTTCCTAGGCAGTAATTTTCCATTTTGTATGTGTGCAACCGATTGTTCCTTCCTAAGTGGAGTACTTTGCATTTGTTCTTATTGAATTTCACCCTATTTACTTCAGACCATTCCTCCAGTTTGTCCAGATCATTTTGAATTTTAATCCTGTCCTCCAAATCATTTGCAAGCCCTCTCAGCTTGGTATCGTTCGCAAACTTATAAGTGTAGTCTCTATGCCATTATCTAAATCATTGATGGAGCTATTGAATAGAACCGGACCCAGAACCGATCCCTGTGGGACCTCACTCGTTATGTCCTTCCAGCATGATTGTGAACCTGAGTGACTCTACCCTCTCTCCTATTTAACAAAAGAAAAGTTGACCAAATATACACAGTATTAAAGAGAACACAAGGGGATGGTCTCTAATACTGCGTATATTTTAGCTATTCTAAAGCTTGGCTACAAATCATCAGACAAATAATGTAAAGATGAACCCTAAACATGCAGTTGGAAATCTTGCAAGGAGGGTTATCCATGCTTCACAGAAGAGGAAGAAGTGCTAACCTAGAAGTCTTTTTCTGACCGAGAGTGAATCGGATGATTTTGCTTTGAGATGAGTCCCTGGGTGATGCACTGTACGACAGGAAAGAAAAAGCGGAAGAAAAAGAGTGAGCAAAGAAGAAACATTCACAAAACACTACTGAGCTGAGCCAATGATTTTAGAACAGGGAGTTTTTCCCATATGTTTCACATGACAAAGAACTTCTCCCCCAGCATAACTCCTCAGACTTTATTCATTTTCTATAATGTGCGTTAGGTTCAGATACAGAACTGAGGTGCAGCACTTGCCTAGACTGACCAGGTTTGTATGTTACTGCAAAGTCAAGTTTCATTATTCGTTTCTTTCTAACTTTTTATTATATACAATGGTCTGAAGAAACTGAATGAATTGGTAACATTAATGCATGCTACAGTTCATCACAACTCTCCCAATATACAAATCCTCAAGTTAGATGTTTGGTTTTGACTGATTTTTTTTAAATTACTTTGATTTTAATTCAATTCATAAAATACTTTGCAGGCACCAGACCAATGTTCAAGTGTTGGGAAAGGATCACTGAAACAAGTTCTTGTTGCTCAACTTCATTTTACAGTAATTATTCTGCACTGAAGCTTATGACGATTTCATATGGCTGTTAAGAAAAATGGCTATGTTCAATTACAGAAAAAAAAAATCCCTGCTTTGTTGAATAAAAAGAAAGCCAGTTTATGCTGAAAGGCCAAAAATGGAAGAAGCTTTGACAACTGTCCCACTTGGCCAGACTCATCTTAAGGATTTATACCTCTGGTGGTGTTTTTGGTATTTGGAAACTAGCCTTGCTGTAGCACTCAAATTTAAAATTACAAACTGATTTGCAGTGTTACACTGAAAACAAATCAGTGCCCATATATTTAGAACAGGAGATAAAAGAGGTGTACAAGTATGTCTTCAGTGGTGCTAAATCCTGCTCACTTTACTCCCGCCAGGAATCCCATTGCCCTCACAGGGGTATGTAGTCCAATAGACAGAAGTACACAGAATAGATACAGCATGGGCACTGTCTCCACTATTGTGCATGAAATCTAACTTGGAAGGACCATCTCTGAGTATCAGAGGATAGCTCAATCCTCACAGTACATTCAATGCCTGGTCTCTCTTCAGGGATTGCCAACAAGATGCCAGTTGTAATGTGAACATTTGTCTAATGACAACCAGAGTGAGACCATCAAACTCATTTCTTATAAGCCATGAAACAGCTATCAGATGGGTAATGACTTTTGGATAAACTTAGGCTGGATTTGAACCAACAGTAATGGTGAAGGTATTTCTTAATGGAGATTTCTTTCATTTTTAGCCGAACGCTTCAGCAAGGATCTTAAAATAAAAAAACTAAGACACAAATTACCACGCTTAGTGGAATCCCTGTAAAGATATATTTAATATAAAGTCCAGACTTAATCTTGTTAGTGTCCTCTAGGCCACCATCCTTGGTTTTGTGTAAATGACTGTGCTGTTGCCTGACAAGTACACCTAATTAAATGCTTTACTAGCATAAAGCAAAAAAAATAAAGCCACCACACTTTAATAAAAAAAATAATAATAATAAAAAAACCAAATCCTGCTTACTCATGTAGCAGGCATTTTAACCCTGTATAAATGAATATTGCTGCCACAGACAGAACTTAATTATTGCTTCTAGTTTGAATTCCAGGGGTGTGAAATTGATTGCTATGCAGCTTTCACCTTCTGATACGCTGAGATGCTAAATACCTTCTGTTCTAAGGAGAAACTACTATAGAGGCTGTTTTTGTTTCTGAAATGCTTTAAAACAGAAAAAATATATAGAAAACATCCCACCTTGACTGCATTTCTGGTTGTGCTTTTAATTGATGATGTGCAGCTTGCTGGGGCTGTTGGCACTGTGTTTGGGGCGAAGCCGGCATCTGTTGCTGTTGCACCCCGACCGGACACTGGGATGGAGGCCCTGGTTGCTGGGATACTGGTGGAGGTTGCTGAGATGGATGGTGCTGCGGATGTTGTTTCAGTGGCTGCTGCTGCTGCTGCTTATACCGAGACAAGCTGAAGAAAAGTCCTAGAATGGCCTTTAGATTCCCATTCCTGATTTCTGTAAGGCAATTTTTTAAAAGTCACTTGTCAACTACCAGTTTAGTTTTTTCTTACAGTACAATGGCTTATTTCAGCATTCACACTGTTCCTAATACTGCCTGAATTTAATTCCTTTAGGATACGACAGACTCCCTGCAAAACTAATTGGTATCACAGTTGATTAACATTGGGCATCAACCACAAAGTAAATTAGTTATTTCTCCCCTACAGTGATTGCAGTGGATGTATTAGAAATGAAAGACATGTTGTGAGCTGGTGGATTTTAATAAAGAATTCCTTTAAGCCAAAATTAAGATGCAAAAATCAAATGCAATGTAGCAACATCATGCTGCAAATGATTTGCTGTAAGTTCTAGTCCTCAATGTGCATGATGGGGAGAAGCCACACAGTGATACAGAATTGCATTGTTTTCATTATATATGAAAACATATATTTCGTTATATGTCAGTCTAATTTATTTCAATTATGAAAATCTAATATACTCAAATTAAGAAATAGAATTAGTGTGTATATTAGTGGCTATACTTAAACTAGATAATTACTAGTCTGGTCTTTTCACAAGGCAATAAGGACCTGGTATCCACAACATTTAAGTTTCTGATTGTCACATGTACTATCTTGCATATTATATCACACACACACACACTCTTAAAAGAACAAGGGTCCTGTGGGGGAAAAATAGTATGTGGTTATATACAGTAATGCATATGCACAAGGGGCTAAATTAAGGTTGCACAGACAACTTTAAAACTGGTATTTCCTAACTTTTGAGTGCTCCACTTTGCGGTCTTAAAGTGTTTTTAAATGAGGGGTTCAGAGTGCAGAAGGGGGCTCTGGGCTAGGGCAGGGGGATGGATTATAGTGGGGTGAGGGCTCTGGCTGGGGATGCAGGCTCTGGGGTGGGGCTGGGATGAGGGGCTTGGGGTGCAGGAGGGGGCTCCAGGCTGGGAGTGGGGCCAAAGGGTTCAGAATGTGTGTGTGGGGGGAGCGGGGGTTCCAGGCTGAGGCAGGGGGTTGGGGCATAGGAGCGGGTATGGGCTCTGGCCTGGCAGTGTGGGCTCTGGGATGGGTCCAGAAATGGGGGGTTCAGAGTGCGGGAGGGGGCTCTGTGGGCACAGGGGCCACACCTCACCCAAGCTGCAATTGCAGGGAAAGTCCTTCTTAGCCCAAGTGTAGACAGAATCTTGTGGAAATATAGCTGCTAAAATCTAAGAAGCCTCTACTGAGTATGTGCAAACAGCAATTTTTAAAGGCTTATAACTTGACCAAATTTGGACTGGTTTTCACAGGAACAGAAGACGACATACCTTACCAAATATCAAGTTCCTGTTTCACAGCATGGGGGCTCTAAAAGTTGCCAGAATTTTTTAACATCGATTCAACATTTTCCCCCCCTAACCCCTTGTTCTCAGATATAGCTGAACTGTTTTGGCAAAATATTTCAAAATAATTCAACCTGAGGCAGACGGACACTCAGGAAGGAAAAATTCAGCCCAAATGGTTAAAATTTAGCAAGTGATAAGCAACTGAAAACAGGACCTTATAATAGGAGATGTCAGGCGACCTTAATAATAAGTGGTGCTACCAACCCTACCTATAATGTATAATTTGATATATGTGAGTGCATGCCCATCTGCTGTGTTTATCAGAAGAGAAACCTGGTTTTAACATTGTCTTAGAAACACAGAAAATAAGAACCCACACAAAAATATACCCTTAAAACAATGAAAAGCAAAACAAGAAACAAAGAAAACCTCTTCTATACTTTGACAATATTTTCACATTGTCTGTAATCTGCCTAAGCAAAATGTATCTTCTAAACAGGATACAAGAAAAATTATACCCACAGACTTTGGACTCAATGCTGTTTCCACTGAAGTAAAAGAAAAAACTTCCATTAACTGCATAGGGAGCAGGTTATGGCCCTTTAAGAAGAAGCAAAATATTTCAAACAGGCCTTTTAGGAGTACTTCTGGTTCTCTTATCTCGAAAGATGGACTGAGGTAATTCACCTGGCAGTTTGCCACTGGACTTTGTACACAGAGAGTACTTCAGCCTCACTGTGTTTTGCCAGTGAGTACCATCTGAATTACTTCTAGTTCAAACTCTCCTTCTCTGTTTTGCGTCAGTTTAAACACGCATGCTGAGTTATGAGAGCATGAGCATGTAACCCAATCATTTTCATTTTGGCCACACACAAAAAAGAAGGGTTCTTTATTTATATTTTAAGTTTTAAACAAATATTGCCAGATGTTCTGGTTTCAGGGAAATGCAGGGTTTTAAAAAGAACCCTCCCAATCTGTTGATTGGACATTTCCATGCAGTGACGTCGTCTGCTGTTTGTTGCTCCTACTGCTTTGACTTCCAATTTTGAAAAGCTGCCCAAGCTACTCTCTTTCTTGATACAAAAGTATACAAGACTCAGTGGCAAGGCAACAGGGAAATCCACAGAAAACAAGGAAGTAAATTGATAGGATATGTATAATGTTAGTTTCTGGGACAATTAGAATGAAATGTCAGGACTATACTGCAGCTGTTAAAAGTTAAAAAGTTACTACATATGGAATCTAAAAGATTGAAGCCAAGAAGGAATGGAAGGAGAAAAAATACTGATTGAATAAAATGAACAGATTTACAATGATCAGAATAGGCTAGCCAGGTGGTTTAGCAGGAGCACTTTGTAGCACTAAACAATAGACCAGACTTCAGGTGCACAGATTGGTTCTGAACGCAAGGGCTGACAGAGAGTGGGCCTCCTGCAGAGGCAACACATGCAGCTCCTTGGGATGGGAGAGCGATGCTCACATCACTTTTAGGAAGCTTTCTCTGGCCAACACCAAGAGTCTTTGAAGGCAGCTACATCCCTTCTCAGCCGGAACAAGAAGTGAGGCTGAGATAGGCTATTAAAGAAAACAAAAGGGAACCCTGCCAAAAAAAGGGTCAATATAACTGCATATAATATAGGTCTGGATGACCAAACATTTCATGGGTAGACACTCTTCAGAGCCTATCCAGAAAGCCAGCTGCTACCACTTTCCTTTTAATGGTGCGGTGTGTGTTCTAGAAAAGATTAATCCCACCCAGGGAATAACATTAGAAAGTAGCCAAGAGTGATGTGGCATCCCTATATGCAGAAAGTCCTCTTGGATTAAGAGATTTAGCCATAGGGAAAGGAGGAAAATTGTTTAATTTACCAAGAAGAGGTGGGAAACAGCACTGACAGATTTCCAATAAATTCAAACCAACTCGGCAAAAACACAGACTCTGCTTAGGACTCTGTCAATGAAAGAGAGAGAAAAAATTGCTTGCAAAGTACAAGCTGCAGTTGAGCTGAAAATAATTTAGCTACAGGAGCATGAATTTCAGTACGGGGGAAAAAAATATAGACATGGCCAAAATTAGATAGTGGTTGTTCTGAAGACTAGTAAAATGTTTCCTTTGATCACTTTATGGCTTCACAATTTGCTCAGCTGATCTCTATCCAGCTAATCTATTAATGCACAGGTGGTGCAACTGCTATCTTCAAAGAAAGTATTAGTTCCTACTGCACATACACAGCATCTGTAATCTGCAAAACCTTGGCAATTAGAAACACTATTTGGAAAGTGGTGAGAATAAGTAGAGAGCTGGAATTCCAACAGGCCAGAAAGTGGGTCTGCATCAGTCCAGGGAACAGCAGGGGCATGCATACAAAGCTCAAACTGATGAGTAACTAGAAGGAAAATGGCAGTGGAAAGAGGAGACAAGAGCTCCTCCACATCTCCACAGAAACTTCCCCTTGTTAACAGCTGAGGTCTTAGTTTGTAAGCTCTTTGGTGCAGGGACTGTCTCTTTGTCCTATATTTGTACGTTCCTTCCACAACAGGGTCCTGGTCCATGGCTGGGGCTCCTAGGGTAATAGAAATAATAAAAGTGTGCATACATTGGAGCCCACTTATTTAAGTGTAGCTTTACTTTACTGAGGAGTACAAATTATACTTCCAGTCATAATGAACTTCCTCCTTATAGTAAAAGTGTAGAAAAAAAATGTAGAGGGGGCTTCAGTTTATATTTCCATTCTGAACTGATTATAAACTCCTACTTCCTCCTGGCTGAAAATTTGCAAAGGGAGTAAATACAATTATTTGCATTTGACCCACTGGATCTTAGCAACCTGTGCCCAACACTTTACTGGCTTGTTTGGTTATGGCATTGTTTAACCGGATTCAATGTTTTTATTTGTTTTTTATGAGATGCCTGCTTCCCGTCATGGTTAACATGCATCTCCCAGAGTAAGGTTTAAATTAAATGTTGCTTTCAAGCCCAAAAATTTCAATCTTCAATACATTCTTTTTAGTAGTAGTATACATGGAACAGTAAGACAGGTAATTTATTCCACTACTATTGTGGTAGCCATTAGTGGCATCCCCCTGGCTGCCATCAAGTTTGCACTGTTGTATCCTTTGGAGACTGACTTGTGCCACTGTGAAAGGTACCGTATATAAATACTGAATTAGTAGATGTCATGAGAATGGGATACCCTGGGCTCTGCTGAGAGTGGTTTGTGATCTGGTGGGAGAGCTTATGGACCTCTAAGGTTAGCAGAGTAAAGAATTTTACTCAAGACAGTTTTCTCATCACCTCAGCTGGTTTGTCTGGGATTTTGTAACACATTGACAAAGTTCCACGAGGTGAAACGTGCATGGGAATGTCTCTCTCTCATCTGGGTTGAAAACAGGAGTTTATTGTGCAGAAGCAGCCAGGTTCGCCTTTTCTGTTTTATCATCATATACTGACATGCAGGGCTTCTACTTTTAGAGGCTTTAGGCTGAATCCCACTCACTTCACTCAATTGAGTAGCCCCATTGATTACAAGGGCACTATTTGGGTGAAAATGGGAGACCCATTATCTTAAAGCTTCTCCTAAGAGGGGAAGACGACTTCTGTTCCCTATGTCTGAATCCAATTTAGGGCACTCGGTAGGAAAGGATTATTTACATTGAGCCAACTGTTCTCATATCATCAGAATACTACTGCATGTATTAATGGTCTGCTGCCCTACTTTCAGCACATTATCATTATCAAGATGAATAAAATTATTATTTTTTTAAACCCACAACATTTTAAAGTGGAAGTTAAATCCTTATGTATTGCAATGAGGGAGAGCCTCAGACAATAAGTCCTGGGTGCAAATGAAATGAAGGTGACTGGGAGGGAGAAAGGGGGCCTTTAAGATCTTTTCCGAATCTCAAAAGAGCATCTTTAGTTTGAAGCAGGAATTGCACTAGCTCTCTACTCCCTACAATATGGCATATTTGAATATGCTGTAGTAGGGCAAAGTGCATTTGGTGGACGTTGCAAATGTTGCTGGCCACTTATGCCTAGCACCTGGGTGATGCTATATCTTTATTAAATTATTTGAATGTACTTTACATTCAGAAAACCTATGTACACAACAGTTTCCCCATATATTTCATCCCCTGTGGATTATTTGGGGTATATTTTAATAACATCACTTATTTTCAATAGGAGATGGTTTGTTTCATTTAAGACTTGAAGCTACAGGGGTCACCATCCAACCACATCAAAAAAGAGTCTTAAGCTCACAGCCAGAGTCTAGTAAGATGTGAAGTGCTCTGAAAAGAAACTTCCGTGGAAAACCCTGAAACTGAAACAAATGACATTAAATATGACTTTATGCTTAGAGGAAGCAATTATTTCAGGTAATTATCACCCCACTGAAAATCCACTTGGGGGGGGAGGTGGGGGACAAATGTGGAACTAGTAGTTTGTGAATACCAAACTCACCACAACAATACTTCTAGTTAAACCACATTTATGTTAAAGATCTTCCTTCTAAACACTGGCTGTCCTCTTACACCCTTAGGCTGCAGGAAGGCATCTGTGTTTTGCAGATAATAATCTACTTCTCCTAAAGGGGAATTCTTTCTCACACACATTTAATTCAAAGTATGTGTCTCATATTATCAATGTACGTAACAACACAGTATAACCCCAAAAGGGAGGAATGCTAATGTCCCAATTGTTTAGAAATTAAAAGAAATGCATCTTGTTTCTAAACATTCTCACTCAGGTTCTGTTGGTAGCAGGACGCCGGGAATTTTGTAGTCACTGCTCGTCCATTGAGTACTGTACTTCAAGCATAAATATAATTAGTTAGTCTTTCACTAAGACCGTGAGACAGCTAGAAACCGAATACAATTATCCTTTTGGCATGAAGAGTTGGGAATCCCCCCAGTGCTATGCACACAAATGCTTACAGCCAGGAGATTTTGGTTGTTGGCAACCAGGCAGTCAAAGCCAAGAGAGAAAAGCTTTTCTATTCCAGCTGAGAGGGCCGGCAGCAATTCTCTTTAAGAATTGTCAATCACATGATCAGACAGGCTATCAAATTCACCTTGCTTTTTAGGCAGCAACATGAGCGGAGAGGGAGAAATCACAGCTTTAAGTACATAGGTAACTAAGTTATGCATACTCATGCAAAAACTTTGCAAAGTAACCAGCTCCCCAAACTCAAGCTTGCAAGGAAACTTATTTGAGAAGTTAAACCCAGAAAGTCGTCTCACCTGAACTTGCAAATCCGATTACTTGTTCTGGGAAATACTGAGGTAGGTGTAACCTAATACATTCAGAGTCCGACTTAATTGTTGCTTACTCTGGTTGTTGGCACCTGCTTGCTTTTTCAAACATACTTAAGTGAAAGTAAGGTGAAACCTGATGTACGACATGCTGGCACTACAGTCTGTGCAGTAGGTGGTTATTAATATAATGTGACTGGGGACGAATGGTTTTGATGGATGGACTGACAGCATCTAATTTTTTTATTTTTGTTTCGTTTTGTAACATTTGAATTTATTTCATTGTTACATGCACTTACAGAGGCAAATGTAAAAATTTACATACTACAGAAAAATAAAGAGAACAGCAAAACAGAAGTTTCTTTTAAAAAATGTAACTTGACACCTTTCAATAGACATCCAACAAAAAACAACAAAACATTTTGTTTCAGTACATAGCTACTAAAACTTTTGTTTAAGAAAACTGGATAAAGCATTTCTAGTTTCGTAAAGTGTCAAGTCATGAAGTGTTAATAGTCCAGTTTTCACTTTAAAATTAAACTTTGATTCTTTAGCAATGATGCAATTAATCATTAATATGGTAAAAAATATAGGCCCCGATCCTACACGCATTTACACATATGCATAACTTTATTTTTCAACCACAACGGGACTACTGCACTTGTAAAATTATGCATGTGAGCAAACGTTTGCATCACAGGACTACAGATGTATTTTTCTGTAGTTATTTAATTCTATACTTTTTTCACATGCTGCTATTTCAGAAACAGTCTGCTTTTGTCACAACCATAAATACACAGGCTTTGGTTTTTCAGTGTGTCATTTCTAGAACTCAGCTGCAAGGTTAGTTTGTTTGGTGTGTGTGTTTTGTTTTAAAAAGTGAATGAATCTAATTCCCTCCCATGGTTTATTTTTACAGTAAAAGAGTTAACAGAATTGAGTCCAGCATGTATTTTACGTACCTTTCACACAGTGGATGCGGAAAAGAGAGGAAAACACAACAGCACAAGTCTTATTAAATCTCCAGTGATCCTGGATGTATATATTTTTTTAAATGGAGGAAAAAAACCTAAATTGAATGTCCCTCATTACAAGATAAATTTTGGAATGACAGATTGACTCACCCTCTGCTGATAGACCCTGTATGTTTATTCCCTTGGCAGCCAAGAAACTCAGACATGCATCTATGTTTTCAATCTAAACAAGAAACAAGGAGACAAAAGAATACGGGTTGTAGTAAATGTTTACTTAATCTACAGTCACATTTTATTGCCTACAACCTTTGTATCACAGAAAAAGCCCCTTTGTTCATTGCAGTGGAAAAAGGGTTCTTAATATTGGAACCATAACAACATGAAAACTCCTAAGTTATTAGACAATCAACACTGTGTTGATTAGGGCTCCTCTTAGTTTGTATTTGTACGGAGCAAGTTATTTAATACTCTACCCACGCAGATCCAAGAAAGATGATCGTTGCATCTCAGTAGACGGCCAAATATAACATGCTAGGATTTTTGTCCTATGATAAACATGATACTGAAAATAAATATGGTGCCAAATTTGCCTGAGGAGAAGAGAGATTACCACTTGCTCTTAAGCAGACAGCTGGCAGAAATTTCCAGTCATGGAGGCAGTAAAATGTAAGAATGGTAACTAGAAACCTCAGTTGGAATCCAGAAAATGTTTACTCACAAAATTCCCTGGATGTTAGAAATTACATACTGAAACAGGCTGCAGTTAGTCACAGTGGACCAAATTTTGCCTCTTCAGGGGGTGCAGGGAGCTGGTGCAATTATGCTGAGTTGGAGGGGGCAGGATTTCAGTTGGCCTGACAGGGTATGCACATCCAGCTCTCTAGGGATCCCCGGCAAGTTGTTTGGGAGCCACTATTATTTGCTAGGGTTACCAATTTTGGTTGGACCTATTCCTGGAGGTTTCATCACATGACATAATCTATAATTAAAGATTAACCTTTGATTCACGGAGACTCGACAACCCTATTTTGCCTGTATTCACTACCCCTCAGTGGAGTGCTACAACTGCAAAAGTTACTTCACTAGACTGAAGTAGCCTCAGTGAAGCAGCCCCATATCCATCCCATGGCCTGAGGGAACAGGATTCATCCTTCTCTTCCTTCCATGGAAATCACCACCTTCCAGTCATATTACTGAAGCGGGGCACCAGGGAGAAAGTGTGCATCAGAACATTTGCAGAGTTGATATATGGTGCGATTTTCAAAGGTGCTGAGTTGTCCTGACTCCACTCTCATTACTCAAGGATGAAATTTACATTGACTGCAGTGGGAACAGAGTTATGCCAATGACCAGTGCTTTTGAAAATCTCACTGTGTGGGTATGTCTACACAGTAGCCGAGAAGCCACAGTTGGTCAATTTTCAGAAGGATCCCTTGCTCCCCAGGAATAAGGATCAACAGAATCCTTCTCAGAGCCCTGGAGGAGCCCTCATTTTTTCACCTTTGTCGTTCCTCTTTTTTATTTATTTATTTTTTGGAAGCCCCAAGCTGCAATGACCCATCCTCTCTTCATAAGGTGAGGCCTGATGTGGTTTGCCTGGGAGCTGATACATTGTTCTTTGTGTTACTAAAAGAAGAGAGAGACACATGTAATGTGCTCCCCTTCTTGGAAGCTCTGAGCAACATACCCTACCTATATGCAAAAGGTCAAGCTTGAGTAACTAAATTCTAATCCATCAGGGCTCCTTGCAGACCTCTGTATAAACAACCAAAGAAGTCACTGGGCATTCCATGCGCAGATAAGTTGTAGGATCAGACTCCCAAATATGTTTCCAGATCATAAAAGCCCTCTATTACTATTATGGTTATTATTAGGAGTACGGTAGCATGTGTGGGCCCAATTAAAGTGCTGTACAAACAGTAATAAGATAGTCCCTACCCCAGAAAGCTCACAACATAGGTTTACAATAAGATGCATAAGGCAGATGAAATGGACAAATAGGGGTGGGAAGACAAATCAGTAGTAAAATGAGAATGTTTCCTATCTAGCAATTGACAGGAATTACAGCAAAGACAAGTCATCCAGAGGGATCTGTAGAACCCTTTTACACACAGAAGACCTTGGAATAGAATACTGGGCTTTTTTCTTTTTTTTGCATTTGGCAAGCTGTGGAAAATCAGTAACAGAGACGGAACTGGACTCCTTCAATTTAGAGCCAGTACAAGAAATCAAGAGGCAATCAATAACCCAGTAAACAATAAAACAGTTAATAATATGTAGCACATCTAGGGCTATCCATGTTCAAAGCAAATTCCAAACATTAATTAATCCTTACAATACCCCAGGGAAGTATTATTACCTCCACTTTACAGGTAAGCAAAGTGAGACAGAGGCCTCTCTCTGCAATATTAACTACCCTTCCATGCCTGATACCACACAGTTATCCCTTCTTGCTCCTTTAGGAGCTGTGCAGGCAAGGATGGGTCAGAGAACAACATGGAGGTCCTGTTCTCTGGCACCTTCAGCTTCTGGTTGCCTGGGAAACTGCAGAAATGAAGCTCACAGATCCTAGGGACTCTGTGGGATTCCAAGACCTCACTCCCTCAATCTGGCCTATATCCCCTGTTCTTTCAGGTAACAAGGAAGACTACACTGTGAAGTTAGTGTCACAGAATTTCCAGTGTAGAGTTCCCCCTAACTGTAATTTTTTCCAATGACTTTTTTTTTTAAATGATTTCCCTTAATCAGGACAACCACATAAGGCACAGTGAAGGCTTCACTAATTATCATCATTGTGATGTATGCCACATCTTACTAATCTTACTATGTGTTAATGGAAGAATAGATGCTCCATAGCTCTCCAACCTTAATGCCTGTAGTAGAGTGCAGTCCCAGATCAGGGCCCCGATGGCATGGTGCGGCACTGCATCAACCTGCCTCTTGGTCCCTCCTGGGTTTTCAATGACTCTCTTTGACTCCAACACAGTTCATTTGCTGAGGTGAGTTGACCCTCCAGCCTCAAAAGTCCACCCTTTCTGGGGTAATCAAAATCAAAAGGAAACGACTAATCTGCCATACCAGACCTGTGCCAGGCATGCAACAATCTTTGACCTCTCTTTTTCCAGCTCCAGAGCTCTGGTGAGTTCCTTCTTCCTCCTCTTAATAACAGTGGTGATTGCATCTTTTGCCTCGGTGGTAGCATAGCAGAAAACATATGCACCCCCTCTACCAAGGGTTCCCAGCCCTGTCAACCCTAAATAACAGGACTTTCTGACCCCCCACCCCCCACCCCGATAGCCCCAAGATGCCCTGCTTCTCCTTTCCAGAGACTCATTCTATACTTGCTGACTTTCTTCTGAGCTCAAACGCCTTCTCTTTTGGGACAAGGTGATCACAGCCCTCCTTCCTGGGACTGTGTTTTACTATGGCAGGCGTCACCCAACCCCCAGCTTCTCCTTGAAACTCAGTATCCACTGCCCTCTTTTCTGGGGCTGCGCTGTAATCCTCTTCTTCCCCTGGGACAGCCCTCCTTCTTCTAGCTAGGCTAGAGTCCTCACTGACCTCCCCAGTTCACCGTCACCAGGGATCTGGAACTGCTCCAGGGAGTCTCCTTCCAAGTCTCTCAAGACTCCAGGCTTCCCCCCCTCCCTCCCTGTGACTGAGCTCCACACAGTGCTTTTACCTGGTGAGCATTATACTCACTTGACAAACACCCATTCCCGGTTTAACTCCGGATGCTCCCTTGGAAGGAGTTGGAAAATACAACAGAGGCAAGCCCGAGTGCTGGCTAGGGGAAGGACTGACACCCCAGGACGACATTCCATCCCAGCGAGGAGGCAGGGAAAGGTATCACCCTTTGCTTGGGTCTATGGGACTATTTCCCGTTTTGAGTGGGGAAGGAGCACCCCTTAGGCTTACCCTCAGGCCTGCCCTGAAGACACAACCAAGGGAGCACCAAAGGGGGAAGGCAAACCCTACCTGAGTGGGACTGAGTACCCCAGGCCCACCATCACCAGAGGGGAGAAACACTAAGGCTGGCAAGAGAAAAGAGGTGCCTTGACACACAGTATAAACAATTCATGAATTTTGGCTATAAAAAGTATTAAAGACAAGACTCTGAAAATCTCAACAAACTAATATTAACACATTGTAAAAAAATAATTATTAAATGTTTATATATCATTTTTTCCCAATAAAATAGTTTGGGTTCACAATATTTGAGCATAGCATCAAAACATTGTAATAATGACAAAAGTACTGGATATTAAGGAAGATTTGTTCTGTATCTAAGGCTACATCTACACTAGAGAGCTTACAGAGGCACAGCTGTACCGATGCAGCTGCGCTGCTGTAAGATCTCTCATGTATCCATCCAATGCCAATGGGAGAGAACTTTCCTGTCGACATAAATAATCCACCCCTAATGAGCAGTGGTAGCTATGTTGGGCGGGAGAAGCTCTGCCACTGACATAGTGCTGCAGACACTAGTGCTTATGCCGGACTAATTTATTTCACTCTGGGGGGTGGAATATTCACATCCCTGAGCGACATAAGTTTTGCGAACATAAGTGGTAGAGTAGACATAGCCATAGAGGCAGAGCAAATACAGTCTTTTGTGGCAATTGTCATGGGATTTTTCTAAGAATACTAATGTAGCTAGGACTATGAACTCCATGCAAACTATCTATGCAAAACAGTTGTTGCTTCATGTATATATTACCTGCAGTAATGGACGTGCAATGGATTCTGAAGTGGCATGGGGAGGGATAGCTCAGTGGTTTGAGCAATGGCCTGCTAAACACAGGGTTGTGAGTTCAGTCTTTGAGGGGGCCACTTAGGGATCTGGGGCAAAATCAGTACTTGGTCCTGCTAGCGAAGGCAGGGGGCTGGACTCAATGACCTATCAAGGTCCCTTCCAGTTAATGGAGATGGGATATCTCCATTATTTTTATTCATTTATTTATTTTAATTTATGGTAACAAGACCACATAGGTGTAAAATGTCAAGGGTGGAACTAAATTTCCTGAGTAGATCACAACTGAGCACCAGCTTATACAGATAGAACTCTAATGACACTGCATTGCACTAACTCTCAGCATAGCATGCGTAGCTGTCCCCTTAAAATTATACTTTTTCAATGACCGCTTGTTGTTGAACTCGGAGAGACCCTTCTGGGCCAAGCCCATATATTGTTTAAGCCCTTAAAGCTGATGTGAGGTTGTT